TGTTAAACTTTAACATATAAATAGTCTCTCACGTTTGTGAATAGCAACTCAAATCATTTGGCTTGTAGAGAACAGGTGTGCAATTATTTAAACCTATGATATTTGCCTAGAAGATGATAAAACAGAAGAAAAAATAGCATTTCATGGAATACAAACCATCCACAACTCCCTAGGATCCCTAAAGCTCTACACAAGAAGAAATAATAATAATAATCATCATTTATTTATGTATGCATGAATATATTTATATGACTGTGTGTGTGTGTGTGTGTGTGTGTGTGTGTGTGTGTGTATATATATATATATATATATATATATTACACAGCCATATAAATTGAACACTTTTATTGAGTACATTAAGTTATGTAATTATATAATTATACATTTTGCATATTTTATATAATTATAGTTATATAACAAAATGTTTTAATTATTTACATTTTATTAATTATTATAAAATAAAATAGCACATTAGAATGATTTCTGAAGGATCATGTGACACTGAAGACTGGAGTAATGATGCTCACACAGGATTAATGAAGCTGAAAATTCAGCTTTGCATCACTGGAATAAATTACATTTTAACATATATTTCAATAGAAAACAGTTATTTTAAATTGTAATAATATTTCACAATATTATTTACTCTATTATTTACAAAATGTAGGACATAAGACTCTCAGTATATATAACAGGACATAAGAGACCCAGTATATATAATTATAATAATCTATATAATAAATAATAATAATAATTATTATTATTACAATATATTTTAATTTATAAAAATGATAATTATCATATAATATTTTTATTATTATTAAAACTATCATTTAACATTTAACCCTGTTCCCTGAACTGTATACAAAAAAAAAAACAAAAAAAATTATCCAAAAAAAAATAAAAAAATAAATAAGCACTTTGTTTTTATGCATGATGCTAATGGCAGGAGATGCTGTACAAACAGCAAGATGCACAGTGGATTGCAGGTCAGTGATATGATTTATTTAACTTCAATGATATGGACATAAAGCAAACAACAACATATATGCTGACACTGTTTAATGTCTACAGCTCTAGTAGAAATCTGTTTTTTTTTTTCATAGATACCTCTAAGAAAATGCAGTGCAAATGGAGATGATAAGAGATCTACTGAGGAGAAAAAGCTGGAAAGAAGGAGAGGGAAAAGAAGAATAGGTTGGCGAGAGAGGGAGAAAGTAACACGTGATGGGTCGCCAGGAGAAATGGCCAAATGCTTAACCCACAAATGTGAAGCCTGAATCTGTTCAAAGCATTTTTGGCTGGTCTCTAAAGGAAGCAGAAGGAACGTTTTAAACCAGGCAGCCAAAGAGGAGCTTTCTGAAAGGGGGGAGCAGATGCAGTTACAACATTAGAAGTGATATTGAGAGGGAAAGTTATATGGGACAGACAGCAGTACCCAGTGCTGGAAGAGAGGAACCACAAAGTCTTCTATCTCTCACTGAGAAGTACAATGTAAGAGAGCCAGAGTGACTACAACTAGAACCAGCAAAAAGAGAATGAGAGATAGACAGAGAAAGAGAAAGAGGCACAGATGGTTGCTGAAATGTGTGAGTGCTCTAGTTTAGGATGTCATCATTATTACGTGTCAACGATAAATGCCAGAATTGAAATTACGGCACCTGCTTATTTCTCCATCACAACTGCCCAGCAAGCATAAAACATTTCAACAGCTTTGCATTTTGGTTGTAGTTATAGTACAGTAGGTAACATTGCAGAACATTTTTAAAGGGGTCATATGATGCTATTTTAAATATCATTATTTTGTGTATTTGGTGTAACAGAATATGTTGACATGCTTTAATGTTCAAAAAACACATTATTTTTCAAATACTGTACATTATTGTAGGTCCTCTATGCCCCGCCTCTCTCAAACGCGTCGTTTTCTACAAAGTCCATCCTTTGACAAGCGCAGTCTGCTCTGATTGGCCAGCTGAGTGCATTGTGATTGGCCGAACACCGCAAGCACTTGTCAGAAATGTAACGCCCCTTACCATAATCGCGAGCTTCATCTTTCAAAATAAATGTAAAGACAGTACATAATGTCATTAGTTTTACCATCAGTTCAAGCCCGAAAGGGGAACAGACACAGTAATGATGCAGTACACAAGCCGCGGTTAAGTATAAACACGGCTAAATTTAAACATAACTAAAACAAGTGAAGAAACACTGTGAAAATAGTTACCTGGTCATATTTCCTTAAGTGGTTTTAAAATGTCAGTGTAACAAGTTCTTACTATGAAAACAAAAACAGACTAAACTGCAACGTTTGTGAGATATTATATTTACAGTAGGCTGTAAATAACATAATACAACCAGGTCACATTACAACATTATTTGTCTCTGTCATGGTTGTTGATGTTAACTAAAAATAAAACTACAATTAAAAAAAAGTGTTGTTTTCATTAATTGAAATAGTTGAAATAGCTAATGGTTAGAGAGTCTGACTTGTGACCCAAAGGTTGTGGGTTCGAGTCTCAGGTCCGACAGGAATTGTCAGTTAGGGGAGTCAATAATCAGTGCTCTCTTCCACCCTCAATACCACGACTGAGGGGAGACCCTTGAGTTTCACTTCACTTCACTGAAATAAAACAAAATGTAAATGTTAAAACAAAATATAAATAACTAAAACATTTAGCTAAAATAAAAGTTTAAGTATACTAACATTACTAAAGCTAAAATTGAAATAGAAACAATTAAAGCTATATTTAACGGAATGTTTTTAAATATAAATATTTTAAAGAATAATAAAATGATAAAAGCATATAGGAAAATATTCAAATATAAGCTAATTCAAAATATTAATAAATGCTATAATAGTATATAAATAGTTCTAAAATAAGAGTCCTTCAAAAAATAAACACAAATATTAAAATGTACATAATAATAAAATATATTTATTATGTTAAAAACTTAATACACATATGTAATATAACTGAAATAAAACAAGTTAAAGTCGAGGTACTAAAATAACTCAAACTAAAATAAAAATAAATTAAAGCTTAATTGTTTCAAAAACTGATAAAAATGATGAAAGTACATAAGAAAATTACTAAAACAAATAAAAACTGAAAATATAAAATAAAACCTAATTCAAAATATGAATAAATGCTATAATAGTATAATACTAAAATAACAGTCTGTCAAAATAAAAAAAAATAAAATAAAAAAACATTAAATTTTACCTAATAATAAAATATATTTATGTTAAGAAACTTAAAACACATCAGTAATGTTAAGGATGCTTAATATAATATTAATAATTTTTACAATACATTTACCTATAACTTTATTACAAAACATTATGACAACCTTTTAACAACTTAAAATAAACGTTTATACAACATTGTTGTGCTTGCTGGGAGTTTCTCAGTTTACCTCAAAGGACCTTTTGTATGACCACTTTGACGAGCGTGTCATATTCATCTTCACTGGCTGAGCTCATCACTCATGTGGCTGAAATGGGACAGATACATAGATCCATTTGGCAGAGATTTGAAAACAGAGCAAGCATCTACTGCAAATCAAAATCAGCACGAAAACATAATTCTGACCATTTTTAACCCAAATACATGCTGTTTTTGTGCTTCTGCTTTTCAAATTAAAATGCTAAGGTGTTATGAGTATTTGCCATTTTTAGTGTTTTTTAATATCACACCTTTCTCAATAAGCTGCATGATTTGAAGTGGCACTTGACTTAGCAAGCACTTGTATGTTTTGGTGGACAGCTGTTATTGGTCAGTGGAAACCCTCCATCTTTGCTGCGGTCAGTGAAATTTGCAATTTGCGGCCCCGTGCAAATTGAAACCTCATCACATGGCCGTGGCCGTACCCTGCTGCTCTGATTTTTTCCATCACTTTTCCCTCTAAGTAGAGAATTGATCTGCGACATTTAATCTGATTTTCTTTTCTTTTTCGGCTTCGATGTGCATGTTCACACTGAGATGGAGATGGGCTTGTTTTGTGCTCATATATTTGGACTCCTCCCTGTATGAGAGAAACACACACTTTGCACTTTTGTAAGAGTGTTAATAAAGGGTGTCAGGCAAATAATAAATGCAATGCAAGCAAAGTTTTTGCTGTTCAGGTTCTGGATTATTCGTTCAGAGAAGGCTGACTGTTGTAACTGACAACTGGCAAAAAAACAAACAAACAAACATACAGCTGGGAAGACTGTAATGTATATAAAAGTGAGAAAATTGCAATGTCCCATGGTTTTATACAGTAAGAGAACACGAGAGATGCCCTCTAGTGGACATGAACGGTACACTTCATGTTATAAGGCATCCAAGGCGTAAGAAAAATGAACAAATAATTTTTTTTTATTATTATTTAAACTAATATAAACATATAAATGTTATTTTACTAAATATTACTAAAAATATATTATCTTAAAATTAACATTTAACATTAACAATTATTTTTCTAATACAAAAGAACAAAGACTGAATCAAAATATTAATGTTATAAATGACATATGTGTATTATATATAGTAAATAAAAAGTTATATATATGCATACACACATATTATATATTAATAATATTATATTATGTTAATTAATATTAATATAATAATAATAATTATGTGCGCATATACACACACACACACATTAAAATAAAAAAAAGGACAAACAAATCTAAACAGTATGTATCGATTTTTTTATTAAATTATATATCCTATGGATATGTGTGTATATATAATCAAATTCTATATATGTTATATATACTAAAACATTATGTTGGTAGATTTTAGAATTTAGTAATATAAATAGGTTATATAAAATGTAATAAAGGCAATAAAACATACATGAATTATTTTAGTTATTATTATTATAGTACAGTAGCTGTTTATGTACTCCAGTTTGGTCTCTGATGTAGGATTCCGTGACGTTGCTCTCGGTGGGTTCTCCGCTGAGGTGGGATTCAGAGCGGAGCGCAGCGCGCATGCGCAGAAGGGAGAGGTATGGTTGAAAACTCGAAGTCCATCGCGCTCAGCAGAAGAGGAGCAGCACAACTAAATGTGACTTATCTGAGCATCATCATCATCACATCTGCGCCTCCGGGAGACGAAGAAGAGACGAACTCTGAAAGCGCAAACAACGCGATCAGAGCCTCCCGGAGTGATATGATATCATTATTATTATATCTCTCGACGTGACGACTGTTTGTCTGCCTCTAATGTTTCCAACCCACTGAGACCAGGGGGATTTATTCCTTCTTTTGTTCTTTGCTTTTTTATTGACTTATTAATAAAAGCAGCCAAAACGAATAAATACGGGTCATTATGGTTTTGTTAACACTGCATAATAGAAGAGGGTTGAATTGCTTGTGCGCGCAGTTCTTGCTCTGGATTTTATGTGCTGTGGACGGTGAGGAGCAGCAATTCAGTGTGGAGGTAAGAGATCCACAGAAGAGACGATGTTGATGTCACTCACATCTCTGAATACACGCATAACTGCGCTGGATTGAGCCATTTTGCATGCAAACTACTAATGCAGTTTGCCGATTCAAGCTTTGCACGTCTCGTCTCTCTATAACACAACAAATGAAAGTTTATCAAATGACACCAATGCTACAGAATGCAGATGAATGGCTTGCATTGTTATTTCTGAGACTTGGTGTATGTTCAATATTATAGATGACTACAAGATCGAAGGTTTATGATTTATACAGCAACTTGTTAATGAAATAAATGTAAAAAATGCTAATGTATCACACAAGTTGCAAGGGATCACAGTCTAAATTAGTGTTCAAGTTACAGTGCAGTTGCTTAGTAAATAAAAATCAGCGTGCAACTTATGTTATGAGGCAAAACGTACACTTTTGGGAATATTATCACTATTGTAATGCATTAGGCTGTATTTACTCAGAACATGTTGTTGCTACTTAGATCTATAGCTAATTAATTCAAAAACGTAGTGAAGTGCTTGTTTAGTTGCACCCATGACTTATTATGTGGCACAATAAGAGTTGCTTCAGAGGAAAGATGACTTTAGTCTTCTATAATTCTGGTCCGAAAAGCTTGCATGCTCTCTTTTCCTGCTGTTTTGGACACACACACACACACACTGAGGTTTGTTCTGTTGGCACAATCTGATTCACCAAAGGGTGGAATAAATCAACTCGACATGACTTGATATCCGGCCAGTAACCAAAGAAGTCAACCTGTCATTACAGCCTAAATATTGTAACGGTAAACATGCTGTTACAGTTCAGCTTTTCATTTTTTATTAGAAATGCAATGGCATTTCATGCAAAGCAGCAAAGAAAGCTTTTGCCTTTGAAACGTGCCAACATTATAAAAGTCCACTGTGAATTTACAGTCAGTCAGAAGTTATGCTCAAATGAGACAGCTGTTTGTGTTGTTTGGAATAGTGAAGTGTGTTCAGGACAAAGTTTTTCTCCTCAAGCGCTGGACGGTGTTGCAGAGGCAGACCGCCTGTTTATGAGCTTGACAGTTGTGTCAGATGCCCTTTATGTCTTTAAGGAGCCTAAAATCTGCGGCAAAGCAAACAATAGCTTGAGACGCTTTAAATTTTCATCCTGACAACCGTTATTCTTTCTGTTTCTCGGAAGACTGCTATTTTAGACCCTTTGAGATTAGAGGCTTTCTCAGGACAGCAGCAATTCCATGACATTTTACAGTACAGTGTACTTTAAAGTCCCCAGTCACCATGTATTTAAGCATCCCATTGTATAAATGAGTATTTTGAGATAACTCAATGAGAAGCAAAGTGGAATACAGAGTATATGAATCAAATCAACTTGACTGACTTGGATTTCTTCTTAGAAATAAAGGGTCTTTATTGGCATTTGGTTCCATGAAGAAACTTTAACAGCCATGGAAACTTTCCATTCCACAAAAGGATACTGGAAAAGGGTTCTTCAGATTATTAAAATGTTCTTCATACTACACTCTTACGTAACCATTTTTATGTTCCTCAAAGAACCTTTTCGTGAACAGTTCTTAAAATAACCATTTTTTTCTTAGTGAAGATTTAATAATCTAAACAACCTTTTCCACTATAAAGAACATTTTGTAAATTGGATTGGTTCTATGAATGTTAAATGTTCTTTGTGGAACCATAGATGCCAGTAAAGAATGTTTATTTTTAAGTGTACACTGTTAAAAACAAAAGCTTCCAAAAAACTGACTTTCACAGCGATGCTACAGAAGAACCATTTTTGGCTCTCCAAAGAACCTTTCAGGGAACAGTTCTTCAAAGAACCATTTTTTGAGCATTTCAATAATCTGAAGAAACTTTTTCCACCATAAAGAACCAATGCAATGGAAAGTTTCCACGGATGTTAAAGGTTCTTCATGTAGCCATACAGTATGCCGATAAAGAACCTTTATTTTTAAGAGTGAAAGAAAGGTTCTTCTATGGCATTGCTGCAGAAACAAAGGACAGTTCACTCAAAAATGAAAATTCGGTCATCATTTACTCATTAAAACCAATAGACTGTACACAAAATGTGCCCATACAATGAAAGCCAATGTTGCAATGTTTTTGAACCTCAACATTCTTCAAAATATCTTCTTTTGTGTTCCTTGAAGTCATACAAGTTTGGAACTACATGAGGGCAAGCAAACGGTGGCAGAACTTTGATTTTAGGTGAACTGTCCCTTTGAGAAAGCCTTGTGTGAATCTACATTCAATCTGCCAGGGTAAAAGAGCATCAAGGAGACAGACAGAATGCATTTTCCACTTGTCTGATGTTATAAAAGGACACTGATGTAAAACATTGAAGTTTATTGGTGCGGTTTGGCTTATAGGCTCTGCTGGTGTGGCAGTGGCAGAGGGTTATATTGGTAGCTTCCTGTGCACACAAATACATTGGCTTTAAATGGATAAGACTAGTCTCTGTCTTTCTAAATGACAGATCTGTAGTTTAACCTAAATCTGTCCAGGTTTTGATGGCAATGACATTATGACCGTCTCTGTTGGACTGAGGTCAGGAGCTGATTGGTTACTGGGCGACAGCATTACCTCAATTTCCTGCCTTCCTTGCAGTTCCACATGATTAACACTGTTTTACCAGACACATTAAACTATTCAAACGTACAGTGTACACACTCTCAGTACAGTAGACAAGGTCTCTCTCTCTCTTGCTCGCCTTCTGTCTCTCTTTGTGTGTGTGTTTTGGAGAGAGACATTATTAATAGTGTGTGACAGACAGACAAAAGAGGGATTTAACTAGTGTGCGGCGAAGGCAGTGAGGTGTGTTAAAAAAGAAACCATTGACAAACTATTTGGTCTTTCAAAAAGCCAAATTATTAAAAGCTGACAATGGACATGTAATCTTTTCTTGGCAGTTCTCGCGCTCTCCATACATATTGCTCTCTGGAGGTCTTTACAAGGCTTTCAGTTGAAGAATGGCCTTCCAGAACCAGCCGAGGAATTATCTCCCGGGGACACAACTGATTTATTTTTTAATTAAAAAGTAAGATTTATTAAATGGAAAAAGTTATATTTATATAAATCGTTTGGATTATGGAGGCGTTATTTCATTCATTGTATAGATTTAAGTCATCATGTCTTGTGAAAACGCATGCAGCAAGCTGTAAAATAGCAACAGAGCTGTCAGTCTACAAAAAACGTCACTGTGAACAGATAAAGCTCTGTCACACCTCTCCAACAAAGGCATATTCTCTCCAGAATGACATGTTTGAATGATGTTTGTCACTTCGTATAACATGATGTGTGTGTGAATAGGAGTCAGATAGAGTTCAGCCTCTGTCTTTCTGTTGCAGGCTCTTTCATTTTGCTAATACAAAAGCGAATGTTATTTTTACCGACATGGCTACACTGATTCACCCCCAAAATACACATGAATACACTGGAATTAAGAATTAAAATACAGTAAAATATAATATGAAATAACAGTTTCCAAACTGTCATGTGCTAAATAATATTGTTATATTATATATATATATATATATATATATATA